AAACACCCACGTGTGTGTGTGTGTGTGTGTGTGTGTGCCCATGCGTGTGCACGCATGTGTGCTGCTTGTGCGTGTGGCAGCAGCAGGGGAGTGGGGAGGGTGGCATGGGAGGGAGCCCCCCCAGGGGGTAGGACTCAGGATTCTGAGATCAGGACCCCTGTGGAAACCAGGAGTCTCAGGCCGAGGAGCCACCCAGCGCCCCTGTCTGTAGTGTTGAAGGGCGAGGGTTTAGAGCTTCCACGTAGTCAATTGTATTAGTTTTGTCTCTGCGGCTTTGATGGGAGAGTCGAGGGTGCAGGACAGGCGGGGTGGGCAGCACGTCAGCTCTTCCTCTGCCCAGAGTCTAGGAGGACACAGCGCGGCTTACACCCCCCAGGGGTGCCTTGTCTCCCACCCGGATGGCGGACACAGCTGCCAAGGTTCCACTGCCCCCCATGGGGCACGGGCACCCTCAGGGAGTGGCTCCCGCCTGACCCCCACCTTATTCTGTGGTGGATGCAGGTGAGGCAGGGGGAGGGCCTGAGGGGTGCTGAGGGGAGGGCCAGGGCTCTGGTCCATTCGCCCTATAGGGCCCTGGGGCCTGGAGTGGGGAGCGCCCCCTGCCCCTCTCCCTCCTCCAGGGTCTCCAGAGGAGGATGTCCTACCAGATGTTTGGGGAGGAGTCAGGCAAGCCCTCCCCTTCCTCAGCTCTGAGCTGCTTGAGAAATCGGTGATGGAGGCAGAAAGGGGAGAAGAGAAGCACTTTATTTGTGGCAAGCCTGCACCAGAGACTGGGCCTCCCCTCCCTCTGGCCTCTCCACCAGGCCCTGGGCCCAAGCCCACCCTAGAGAAGCCCCTCCTGCCTCGCCAGGGAAGGGCAGCCACAGAGGCTTCCTCCCTAGCAGCGGGGCAGGATGTAGGCAAGGATGCAGGCAAGGAAGGGTTCCTGGAGGAGGTGCCAAGGCCTGATGGCCGCAGGGAGCTGCCAGTGTGGTCTCGCTGGGTCAGGCGGCCCTGACCAGAGGTGTGAGCAGAGAGAGGCCTGGGGGGGCCTGCCGGGCTCACTGGTACTCGTTGGGGGTCGACATCCTGTTTCGGCAGCTGTAGGACATGTCCTCGTACACCACAGAGACTGAGCTCTTATCCTCCCTGCAGCAGAGTTTCTTGACCTGAAACATAAAGCCTGTGCCCTTTGTAGGGGGCCAGCTCCCTCGGGACGCCCTCCTCAGCGCACTCCCCTTAGGAAGCGTCTTGATTTCCTCCTCCAAATGCCTCTGGGCTTCCGGGCCTGCGTGAGGCCAGCTCACAAGGTTTCCCAAGGTTCCCCTTGGGCTGCCCCCCGCGGGGGAGGGACTGGCTTGGGAGCAGAGCCCAGGGGGCAGTGGAGGGAGGCGGGGGTGAGGGGGGCTGCAGGGGGTGCAAGGTCTCAGGGGCAGGAGGAGCTGGGCAAAGGCGGGTCCACTACAGAGCTGGGTGCCTGGGCAGGGCAGACCGCAGCCGTCACCCCTCCCCCGTGCACTTTCACACCTGCTCACACCTGCTCCCACCTGCGACTCACATCCCATGTGCACACGGTGCTCAGGCGCCCTTGAACGCCTCCCTGGCCCCTCCTCTCAGGGGGCCCATCCTCCTGGGCTGCGCCCATCCCTGCTCCGGGTGCTCCTGGCTCCTTTTTGGGTTTCCCTCCCCCCTGGGACCCTGGCCTCACCCCTCTCCTTCCCGCCCGTAGAGGAGCTGGCTTACGGGGACACGGGTGAAACCTGGTGGTCCCCACCGACCTGCGTCCTCAGCGCGCACACGGCCCCTGTCCCCAGCCCGACGAGGAAGAAGCTTATAGCCAGGACCGGACAGACGGCAGAGACCAGCCGAGTCTCCTGGTACGTGCCCGCCGCTTCGTCTGTGAAGAAGGAGGGGAGAGCGGCCTGTGGCCGGGCGTGGACTCCCTGAGAGCCTCCGGGGTTCACGGAGGGGCTCTGCCACGGCGGGATGAGCAATCCGGGCAGCCTCCTGGAGGCCGTGGGCGCAGCTGGAATGAAGGACTCAAGCAGGCGGGGAGGACGCTTCGGAGTGCGCGCGGGCGGACACAGGGCATCCCCTACCTGTCACCACCAGCAAGGTGCCAGAGCCCTGGACTTCGGCGTCCATCGTGACGGCCTGGCACACGTAGACGCCATTGTCAGACAGCCGCAGGCCGCGCACGGTGACGGTCAGGTTGTGCTGCAGCCCCGAGAAGGCAACGCGACCCTGAAACCGCTCGTCTACCGTGGGCTCCTTCTCGTCTTCGTAGTAAATCACGTTGGTAGGCTCCGGCCAGCTGCGCCTCAGGTACACCCCCAACAGGACCCCACTGGCGGAGCAGGTGATGTTGACGCTGCTCCCCTCCAGGGCCACCGTGTAGTGGGGCGACTGCCACACCTCTGCAGGAAGGACCCCCTGCTGTCACCTGCCCGGTGGCCTCAAGGGGCAGGGACCCTCCTCCGGGCAGGGGTGGTGGGTGGAGGGACAGAGGTGCCTGGGGCAGGGCTGCCTGCGACCCTCCCCACACTGGGACCCGGGGCAAGTTCAGGCTGCGGCTCCTCACTGGGTGCCCATCGGCCTCCCCGCCCCCAGGCCTCCTCCCTCCCGGCTGGCAGTGCCCGGGATGGCCGGGGGCAGTGCCCTCTCCTCCTGTTGCGTTGCCTCCCCGGGCACCGAGAGCTGGGGATTGTCTGAGGGGCACCCACAAGTGTCCCCATCTGCCCAGCCTAGGCCTGGCAGGACCAGCCTCCAGGTGCACATGTGAGTCTTCTTGAATGTGACCCAAACATCAGCCTCTCTGCAAACTGAATTCTCGAGCTTCTACTTTCCTCTCTCTCTCTCTCTCTCTCTCTCTCTCTCTCTCTCTTCCCTTCTACTGAATCCATCACGATTCAATCAGAATCGTCAGTCAGTTTCAGCAGAAAGCGACCCAGGGGACCCAGGGCATCTGGAGCCTGACCCCCACCCAGGCCTGGGCCTCTTGCTCCCCACCCTGCCTCGTGTGACTGAGCTTTGCACCTTCTTGCAGAACTTTGCTCGAATATATGTTTTACAAGGCAAACCAACAGACAAAACTCTCTGAGAACCAAGGCAACCTTGCTAATTATGGAAAAGATGTTTCGGTAAAGACAGACCAGAGCCGTGGTGATGCCTCAGACATCAGTCACGGGCGGGGGCAGGGGGCCGGGCGGCTGCCCCAGGGGAGGTCCCGCTCAGCACCCCCAGACCACCCCCTTCCCAGGAAGGAGCACCCTCCAGGTGAGGCTGCGAGCCCACTTCGGGGTGCGCAGTGGGGGGTGCTGGGCCTGGGCAGGGCTTACCTGGGATGGCCAGAGCCCGGAGCAGCATACAGGGGAGTGTGAGGAGCCCAGGGAGCAGTGGGAGCTCCGGGGCCCTGCTCACCGCCATCCCGCCACCACCAGCTCTCTCGCTGCCTGGCCGAGACTCTTCCTGTCTGCAGCACTCAGATGTGTGCCACCACCTGGGAGGCACCACCCCCAAAGCCGCACCACCCCCAAAGCCCCGTGCAGCAGGAGGTGGTGACTGGTGGTTCAGGCACCCCCCCCCCAGGCCTTCCTGGAGGCGGTCCCATGGGCAAGGGGAGGTGCTGAGGGCCAGGCTGGCAGGGCCGGCCCTCGTCCCCTCCTGTCCCTCTGGACTGTCCTTCTGAGCACCCACTGGGTGACCATTTGTCCTGCTCCCCCACTCCTGTCATGTCTCCACAGGTCTGGGCCGGGACAGGGCCGGGAGAAGGCCAAGGAGGTCCCTGGGTGAGGGGTCGGCTCCAGATGCCCTGGGTCCCCTGGGTCACTTTCTTTTTTAATTATAAATTTATTTTTTATTGGTGTTCAATTTGCCAACATACAGAATAACACCAGTGCTCATCCCGTCAAGTGCCCCCCTCAGTGCCTGTCACCCACTCACCCCCACCCCCGCCCTCCTCCCCTTCCACCACCCCTAGTTCCTTTCCCAGAGTTAGGAGTCTTGATGTTCTGTCTCCCTTTCTGGTATTTCCTACCCATTTCTTCTCCCTTCCCCTATATTCCCTTTCACTATTATTTATATTCCCCAAATGAATGAGAACATACACTGTTTGTCCTTCTCCGATTGACTTTCTGCTGAAGCTAATTTTTTTTTTTTTTTTTTTTCTGCTGAAGCTCATTGATTCCGGGAAATCTGGCCTACCATTCAGTGACCCCTGCCGGGGAGGGGGCGGGGTCCTGGAGGGCGGGGCCCAGGTGGGGCTGGGGGCTGGGCCCTGGAGGGCGGGGCCTGGATGACGCGAGGGAGGGATCCTGGAGGGCGGGGCCCAGTTGGGGCTGGGGGCGGGGCCCTGGAGGGCGGGGCCCAGTTGGGGCTGGGGGCGGGGCCCTGGAGGGCGGGGCCTGGATGAGGCAAGGGAGGGGTCCTGGAGGGCGGGGCCCAGGTGGGGCTGGGGGCTGGGCCCTGGAGGGCGGGGCCTGGATGACGCGAGGGAGGGGTCCTGGGGGGCGGGGCCCAGTTGGGGCTGGGGGCGGGGCCCTGGAGGGCGGGGCCCAGTTGGGGCTGGGGGCGGGGCCCTGGAGGGCGGGGCCTGGATGAGGCGAGGGAGGGGTCCTGGAGGGCGGGGCCCAGGTGGGGCTGGGGGTGGGGCCCTGGGGGCGGGGCCGAGGGCGGGGCCCAGGTGGGGCTGGGAGTCCGCGAGGGCCCTGGGGGCCCTTGTGAGGCCCCAGAACTCCACCTCCTTAGAGAATCCCGTGAACATACAAGCAGCAAGCAAGAGATGAAAACAGACCCAGGCCCTGGACTTCCCTGTGGGTCCAGGCCACAGGGGAGGCACCAGGCATCTTTTGGATGCTTTAGGCATTTTTAGTGCTTTAAGACAGGAAGCACCTTCTTTTAGTTTTCTGTGTTTTTCCCCACTTAAAAAGTGTGTATTTCCCAGGTCATTTGATGGTTTCTCGATTGATCTATTTTATTCATCGTAAGGATTAGGGTTATGGATTCTCAGATTATCAAAGATCTTATTTTTAGCTTTTTTTTAATTTTTTAAAATTTATTTATGATAGTCACACAGAGAGAAAGAGAGAAAGAAGAAAGAGGCAGAGACACAGGCAGAGGGAGAAGCAGGCTCCATGCACCGGGAGCCCGACGTGGGATTCGATCCCGGGTCTCCAGGATCGCGCCCTGGGCCAAAGGCAGGCGCCAAACCGCTGCGCCACCCAGGGATCCCTTATTTTTAGCTTTTAAAAAAGATTTTATTTATTCATGAGAGACCCAGGAAGAGGAAGAAGCAAGCTCCCTGCCAGGAAGGGGGGAACGGAAGGGGCTGGTGGCCTCAGGGTCGGGAAGGGCTCCTGGGGTCGGTTCTGGGTTTCAGGCCCGCTGGTCACCCTCCTCACAGGGCCTCACTCCTCTGCTCAGAGTCAGCGATCTGTGGCGCAGACACTCAGGACCGCGCAGGCCACACGTGCTCACATACACGCAGATGCACCCTCGGGACGCGGTCTCCTGGAAGGAGCAGGAAGCCCAGCTTCTGTGTGTCCTCCAGGGCGTCCTGCCACAAAGCCAGTGCTCTGGGGACCCGGAGGGCCTGGCTGGGGTAGGCACCTGCCACAGCACCTGGGGTCCTTGAACCGAGGGGCGTGTGCTCTCTGCTCCACTTCGCACCTGCAGCCTGGGGTGACCTCTACTACCACCAGCCTCCAGAGGAGCCGGGTGTCAGACCCGGGGGGCCTCGTACTTCCAGAAGGCATAGGGGCGGGGAAATATGCTTTTGGTGCAGGCGGACATGCTGACCAGCAGGAGACCCAGGAAGACAATGACGCTAATGACCACAACGACCACGTTGAGCTGGTCTTTGGCCCTGGGCAGGTGTGGCGTGTCCATGTCCGGGTCTGCGGGAGGCGGGATGGGTGGACATCACTCAGTCACCCACAAGGAGTGCACCCTTGAGGGGAGGCATGACCCCCGCCCTGGGCAGGATGGATGGGTGCCAGGCACAGAGGGTGAGGACAGCCTGGGGGCACCTGAGGGGCTTCCTGGGGGCACCTGGGGGTAAGGAAAAGCACCTACCGCGCGAAGAAGCGAAGAGCAGATGTCCTGTCTCCTTCAGATCTTGGGGCTCTGCCTCTGATGCACCCCCCCAGCCCCAAGTGTCACGTGAGACCAGGACAACAGGAGTCCACAGAGGGCTCTCTGAGTCAGGCCAGGGCCCCGTCCTCAGTGCCCCCTGCCCCTGCCCTCCCACAGCTCAAGGTGGCTGGGACTGGACTGGGTGGAGGGGTGCTGTCCTCTGTGGGTCTGAGTAGTGTCCTGGAGGGGTGGCGGGGGCAGACATTACTCCAAGTGACGGAAGTGAGAATGAGTGGAGGCAGTGGGTGGGTGTGCATTGGTCAAAGGGGAGGTCCCGGATGGGAGACATTGGGCTCTGGGGGCGGACAGCGTCCAGGGCAAGGTTGGGGCAGCTCGGGGCCAGCTGGAGAAGCTGAGGGATCACGGGGCCTCTGGGTGCGCGCAGCAAGGCCGAACAAACCCCGCAGGGGCCTCGGGGAGCACTGGCATTTCGGGTGTGTGGGAGGAGGTTTGGGGTGCAGGGGGAGAGACGTGCACGGGCCTCGCCTCCTCCCTGGACTGTGCAGCCCCCAGACTGAGCCCCTTGTGGCTCAGGTGCCAGGCCCTTTGAGGAGCGGAGGCTCGTCTTATTTCATTCTCTTTGTTGGAACCCAGGCCTGCCCTCGCTGGGCCCCATCCTAAGGGCGGGGCGCTTCCAGGCGCGGGGGGGGGGGGGGGGGGGGATTGTCCCCTGCCCCGCCCCGTGCTGCCCCTCCCCAGTAGGGAAACGCCTCAGGAGGGGTGGGGGATCGCTATGCGCCCCTCACCTGAGACATTCAGCATGGTGACTCTGACATTTCTCTGCCGGCCCTGGAGATGCCACATATAGTACCCCGCCTGGGTGTCATTCGCATCGTCAATCACCAGCTGTGCCGTGCCTCCCTGGACGTGGAGCTGCCACCCGGCCCGGCTGAAATATCCTGGACGCCTGACGCGGAAGAGGGCCTGGCCCTTCCTGTGGGGACCCCGGTGGATGACGATGCCCCGGAAGTCGTTGGAGATGTTGCAGGCCATCACGGCACGCTCCCCTCTGGACACGGAAACCACGCCTTTGGTGCAGCTGGGGTTGTCCCAATCTGTGCGGGGGGGCAGGCCACATGGGGGTCACCGCTGGGCCTCAGGACGTTCGCCCACCCTCCCGGGGCCGAGGGAGGGGCGGTGAGGACACGACACCCCCGGGGACGCAGGGGCCCTGCTCAGGGTGGCAGAGAGCCCCGTGAAGCTACTCACACATCGATCGGACCCATCAGCACGTGTGTCTCAAGGGAGAAAACAACACAGAAACAAGGGAGGTTGTGTGTCCCCAAGGGGCCGCTGTGCCAACTCACACCCCCGTGGTGCCCACGGCCCCAGGGTCCCCGGCTCTGCAAGGAAGGACCCCAGCAGGGCCACTGCTTGGGACTGGCTCCACGGCCCGGTGGGTGAGGGGCAGAGCCCCGAGGACAGTGGCGCACCGGAGGCCCCGTCGGGCTGCCATCACCTGCCCATTGCCCAGGGACCCCCTGGCTGGCCTTGGGCTCCCAGGAGGAGGGGCTCTGCGCTCCCCGGCTTCCTGCCAACCCCATGCCAATGACCCAGCGTGGCCCCCCAGAGCTGCCGCAGTAACTCCAGAAGCTCCCTCCCCCGTGATTCTATTCCACTGGGGTACGCCCAGCCCCACAGCTTTGAGGAGCCCCTGGGGTGATTCCACGGCGCTGCCCTGCCCCAGAGCCGTGTGCAGGGGACCGGCTGGAAGGTCCTGCGGGACCCCGTGTGCCCTGGTCCTGCAGGGCCGAGCCTGGCCCGAGAGTCTGCTCTTCTAACAAGCTCCCTGGTGATGCGGGAGCTGCTGGTCCGAGGGTGGATCGGGAACAGAGCAGAGAGGATGCTCAGACTTCGCCTCCTGCCCCTCCCCTGGCCTTTGCATTGTCGCTGACGGGCCGGGACTCCTCTTTCCCTTAGAACCTGGACGTGTTCTTAGCCAACCCCGTAAGTGTTGTGCCAGTCATCACTGGGTGCTGCACTGGGACCCGCTGTCTGCCATCGCGGGGGGACTTGGCCCTCACCTGGGCCAGCCCCTCACCTCGGGATCATGGTCACTCCCTGGGGCCTGGGTCCCACCTGGGCATGGATCTGCTCTTCTCACCAGTGCCTTGGCCTCCCCCGCCCCCTCGCTGGGCCTCCCAGCAGACAGGGTGGGATCCTGAGACTTACGTCCACTCTGAACACTCAGGGAGGTGGCCGGGAGGGTGGTCCAGAGCAGGGGAGAGCCAGAAGGGGGAATGTCAAGGTCAGCATGGCTAGCAGGACAGGGTGGCAAGTGTCAGGGGTCCTGCGTCCTCCTCACTGGTTCTTGGGACACTCCCTGGAGGAAAGAAAGCCACGGGGTCAGAGTTCTCCTGGGCTGCAGCCCGGCCAGGCACAGACAGGGGTCCTGGGCTGCTCCCCAACCAGCTGTGCCCAGATGCCAGAGCTGCTGCCCTGAACCTTCCCCTGCACCTTCTCTGTACCTTCATAACACACGTGGTGAAGGGCAGGCAGCCCGGGGGGCTCAGCGGTGTAGAACCGCCTTCAGCCCAGGGCATGATCCCGGAGTCCCGGGATCGAGTCCCATGTCAGCTCCCTGCATGGAGCCTGCTCCTCCCTCTGTGTGTCTGTGTGTGTGTGTGTCTCTGTGTCTCAAATAAATAAAATCTTAAAACACACACACACACACACACACACACACACACACACACACACTCGGTGCTGGCTGCTGACGACAAACCAGAAACACGGACAAGCCAGGAGGGAAGTCTCTGGGAGAGAGCCCTGCTGACATGGTCATAATTATAATAAAATGTGCAAAACTGGACTGAATCGTGTTCCCGCGGAACCAGGTCATGCCCACCTGCGATCTGACACCATCCCAAGACCACCTTGGCCGCCCCTGCCTTCCCCACCCTCACACTTTCCCCAGTGGGGTGCCCCTGCTTTGTTCTCAGGCCCCCCTCAGGGACCTGCTCTTGTCAAGAAGAGAAGCCCTCCTGTCGGCCTCGTGCAGCGGCCTTCCCTTTCCTCTCACGCAGACGCCCGCTGTGGCTTCCATCACTCTCTCGGCCTCCATTATATGACATTTTTTCTGCTTAGTTTAAACTATTTATTTATTTTTTTAAAAATATTTTATTTATTTATTAGACAGAGAGAGAGAGAGAGAGAGAGAGAGAGGCAGAGACACAGGCAGAGGGAGAAGCAGGCTCCATGCAGGGAGCCCGACGCGGGACTCGATCCCGGGACTCCAGGATCACGCCCTGGGCTGAAGGCAGCACTAAACCGCTGAGCGACCCGGGCTGCCCAAGATTTTGTTTTTAAGTCATCTCTGCACCCAACGTGGCCACGCTCAAACTCACAACCCCGAGACCAAGAGTCGCTGCTCCACCCACTGAACCAGCCGGTCACCCCTATTTTAAAAGTATTTTAAAATTGCTTGCCAGACCTTTTGTTGACTTTTCAGTTAAAAAAAATAGTAAGAAAAATATAGGAATAGAGTCTTTGTTTTGTCTTTGAGCAGTTTTAGATTCACAGAGAAATTGGGCAGAAAGTGCAGAGTGGACGTGCTGGGGGGGCGCGGTCCTCGCAAGCCCCGGGCCAGCGTCCACACGCTGTGGTGGACCCCAGGGCTCGCTCCTGTGTGGAACGCCAGGGGAGTTCGGACAGATGCATGCTGACTTGCGCCATCATCAGGTCCCATACAGAGCTGTCCTAAAACCCTGAGTCCACCTGTTGCTCCCCGTCCCCGCCCCTGCCCCGCCCCCTGGCCTTCCTACTGTCTCCGTAGCTTTGCCTCTTTCATAAAGTCGTGCACTTGGGACCCTCTGGTCTGAGCTCCACTGTTTGTCTCCAGTCCGGGTCTGGGGGGTGGAGCACGAGAGCCGGGGGCAGAGGGCACTCGGGTTAAGGGGCCTCCAGGCGCTTGGGGCCCCTGTGGCCAGGCCCAGTCCTGACCCCAGGAAGGGGTGTCGCCCTGGGAGGGAGAACCCCCGGGCAAGCCAAGGCCACAGAGCCCGCCCATTGCCTGCCCCTGCCCGGAGCTCCTGGACCCCTGACTCCCGACCCCTGACCCCTGGGCGGGCCTGCCCCCCCATCTCCACCCCACCAGCCAACCCCGGGCTCCTGGCGGGGCTCCTGGAGGACTCTTACGGGAAGGCCCACAGCAGCCAGAGAAGGCCGCCCTGCCCTGCAGAGCCTCAGGACACAGGAAATCGCCTAGATCCAGCTCGGAAACAGCTAACGTGAGATGGGAAGAGTCTCAAGAAGGTCAAATGCGAACGATTCCCGCAGGGCCTCCTCCTAGAGGATGTTAGGAGCAGGGAGCTGGACTCGGGGCTCGATCCAGGACCCCCAAGTCATGACCTGAGCTGAAACCAAGAGTTGGACGCTTAACCGGTCGAGCCCCTGGTTGCCCCTGTTTCCGTAGTTTCTGTTGGTCTAACAGGCTACAGGGGCTGTTTCTGGTGGGGGGGCCTCCCTTCCCAACCTTCCCTTCTGCGGGTGCGGCTCCCCCAGGAGCTGAGTCACCCAGGCCCCAGCAGGCGTGGTCACCTTCCCCGAGAGGCCTGGGGGCGGGGCTGGCGCTGCTGCTGTCTTCCCCCCACCTCCCTGTCCTTGGCTGAATTTTTCCTTTTTCTTTTCTTTTATCCTTTTTTCTTGTTAAAGCAGGCGGCATGCCCCACGGGGAGCCCCCAGGGGACTGGAACTCAGGACTCTGAGCCCGAGCCCTGAGCTGAGCCCAGGAGTCCCAGGCTCCCTCCACCCGCAGAGCCACCCAGGCGCCCCTGCTTGACTTTTCCAACCGAGTTTCTAGTTGTACCTTCAGGCCAGGACAGCTTTTCTTCTCCTCTTTATACACGCGCCCTGTTGTGAAACAAGAGCAGGCAACAGAGAACAGGTGACGAGAAAGAGCCGCTGGAAAGACGTCCTGGGCCCTGGGTCCCCGGGCCGTCTCTCACGTGTCTCTCACGCGTCGCCCGGCATCAGGCGCCTGGAAGACTGTTAGATGAGACCCTCGGTCCCCGCCCTGCCCCTTCGCCCCCATCCCGTGTGCACGGGGTGAACGGCGGCCCCCGGAAGACACGCCTGCCCACAGCCTGTGAACGGGACCTTGTTTGGATACAGGGTCCTTGCAGACCTCATCCCTGGGGACGAGATCGTATTGGAGCACTGACTCCAGCATGACTGGTGTCCTTATGGAAGGGGAAAATTTGCACAGAGACAGACACACGGGGAGAAGGCCGCAGGGCGGAGCGTGGCCACCAGCCCAGTAGCGCCGGGGCCACCCGGAGCTGGAAGACACAGGAAGCATCCTCGCCCAGGGCTCCACTCGCACCCCGATTTCGGGCTTCTGGTCTCCATCACCGTGAGAAAACAAACCTCTGGCTCCTGGTCCTTTGCGACGGCCGCCCCAGGACATGCACTCGGTCCCCTGCCCCGAGCCTGCAGCCCACACACCCCAGTGACCGCGTGACCCCGCTTTCTCCCGACCCGATCCCCGCAAACCCCGGGCGAGGAGGGAGCGTTCAGGGTCCTGTCATGTCCGGGACTCTGCATCTGGGTCTCGCCTTGCGGTGCGCTTTGGGGGGGCCTAACGCCCTCTCCCCGGGACCCACCCCCGGCCTGTCCAGGGGCACCGACAGGGCCTGGTGCCTCGGTGACGCCTGTCCCCCCGTCCTTCGGGCCTTGGCAGACTCTGCCTACTTTTCCTGGGTCCCTAAGACTCGTGTTTCAGAGAAACGAACCGTCACCCGCCAGGCAAACCTGTTCCTGCTCCCTCGGTTCCTCTTGGATTGTTTGTGGAATAAAAAGACTCTACACGTTTACGTCGCGCTGCGTTTTCCTTCAAAGCTTCAAGGTTTCGTGGAAAGTCCAGCGTTATTTGCTGTGGCTCGAGGTCCTTCACAAGGGCCTCCCCGACGGTGGGGACCCCGCGGACCGACACACGGGGTCGATTTCCGTCCGGCTCACGAATCCCCTCGAAGCCTGCAGGTGCTGCGAGGGGTTCGAGTCTTCCCCTCCCGGGCCGCCCTGCCGGCCCTCGGCCCGGCCCCACCTGCCGGCGCCGCCACCCCAGCGCCCGGAGCTGCCCGAGCTGCTTTCGCCCTGGGAAGCCGGGGCCTCTATCTCCCCTTCAGGCTGCTTGCGCCACGAGAACGTTAACGGAGCTGAAACCGACTTTTCCCTTCGAACTGGAATCTGCTGGCGAGTGGAGACGCAGCCGCCCGGGTCCTTCCTGAATGAGTCTGCTCTGAGTAACACGAGAGACGCGGGATGTCACAGCTGGCCACGATCCAGTGGCAGCCCTGTCGGCAATGGCAGGATCAGGCACGAAAGGCTCATTACCTTGAATATTGTTTACGTGGGTGGAAGGTTCTAGAAAAACTCATGGAAACTTCCTCCGCTGGGGTTTCCCTGGTACCTCAGATAAGATCTGCCCGAATTCCCTGAGTATTGTTACAAAACAGCTTTCCTTAAATCAGAAAACACAACATGGTGCCCAGTGGCGCAGACGCCCCTGCGGGTCGGGGTGGTCTCCCCAGTCCCGCGGCCAGAGCCTTCGGCGTCAGCCTGCGGGAGACCGGGGGGGGGGGGCCTGGGGGTGGGCAGAGAGCTGGGGGTCAGCAGAGTATTAGCCCCGTGTCGCCCATCCTCGGCGCAGCCTCCGGTGCCCGCTGGCATCCGACATGGGTCGGGGCGCCCCAGTCTCGGGGTGAGGAGGTGGGCCGGCGCCCCTGCGGCTGGAGGTGGGAGACGCCGGGGGAGCTGCCCGCTGACCCCGGCTCTAGTGAGGGCACACCCCAGCTACCGGGCAGGGGCCCCCACTTGCATGGAGGGTTGGCATGGAAACCGGAACCAAAGGCCGCCTGGGCCAGCAGCGAGCAGCAGAGTCCCCCGCTGGTGGCTGGTGTGTGCTGCACACCCAGCACACGGACGCCCCCCCGCACACCCAGCACACGGACGCCTCCCGCACACCCAGTAGACAGACGCCCCCGCACACCCAGCACACGGACGCCCCCCCCACACCCAGCACATGGACGCCCCCGCACACCCAGTAGACAGACACCCCCGCACACCCAGCACACGGACGCCCCTCGTCCAGGCGTACGTTCATCTCCACCCCCTGGTCAGGTGTGACCTCAGGACCGAGGGGGAAGGCGGGAGAGACGCGCGTGGTCGTGACTGCTGCGGGTATTTATCCTTCCCAAGAAGCTTAGAGTCATGGTTCAAATTCCAAGTAAACTTTCTGGAATCTTGACTGAGGATAGCACATGCACGGGCTATTTCACAGTCCTGCCTCAGTGCCTCTCTCCACCCCCAGCCAGGGCCGCCCTGTCGGGCCTTCTGTGACCTCCGCTGGCGACACGGCCAGGCTCGGGCACCCGCAGGCGCGCCCGGGCACACACACCGTGTCCGGGCTTCCTCGGGTCCTCCAACATGCTCTGCACACAGCAGGTGTCCGTCCCCGTGGACCCGAGCGGCCTCCCTTCTGGTCCTCACTCGGGCCGGGTGACCTGGAGAGTCGGGCACCTCGGGGAAGGTGTGTTTACATCACACGCGCGGACCTGCCCATCGGACTGTGACCCGGAGAGTGTGTTGGCGAGCAAAAGGAAAGTGAAAGGCAGAGAGTGTTGTCTCTGCCACATGAGGCAGCTGGGCGTGGGGGATGGTGACCGCCCAAGCAGGCACAACCTCCCGGGGGAGATGGGTGCGGAGCGCCCGGAGCCCCAGGCAGTCCCGGCCCGGTCACCCTCACGCTCAGTGTCTGGTCTGCCCGCCGAGGGAGCACGCCAGCCTCACCTTAAGCAGTACACATCGGCAGTGGTCATCAGATGTGCCCTTGGGACGCATGCTTCCCTGTGCACAATGACCTGGCTGCAAAACAAGCCAGGAAGTGTCACAGGCTCCCAAGCACCACCGGGCACCCTCCCCTGGGGGTGCAACCTCTGTAAAGGCAGCCCCTGGCCGTCTTCTGTTGTGTCCTCTGAGGGAGGCTGGAATTTGTGCCCGCTCAGGGCATGGGCTCTGGGCTTCTCTTCCCGCTACCCAAAGCCTCCCACCTCCTCCGAACCTTCCCCCAGGCTCCGGACGGCCCTGCCCTCACCCATAGGCACCTTCACACTCTCCTTATGTAGGGAGGTCCTGCCTCTCGGTGAAATCCTCTGGCTCCAGACTTAGGATAAGGGGACACCGGGGCTGCCCTCCTTTTCGGCCCCACACTGTGTCCATCTGGCATGGTGTCATGTCCTCCTCCATCACAGCCCCTGTGGCACCGGGTGGCACAGCCAGCTGTGGGAGTCTTTGCTGGCAACTGGAGTAGGACAGTCGGCCCAAACCACAACCGGCCCAGGCGTCTCTGGAACAGGCTGCAGGTTAACAGCCACATGACTGAGCAGGCCCTCCTGGGGAAGGAGGCTGGGAACAGGCCTGCTTCGCACCCAAGGCCTTGTGGCCCAAGCTGGTGATGTCAGGCAGCCTGGCCTTGAGCTGGGGTGAGCTTATCTGCTACTGAGGTGGGCAGTGGGTCATCTGGGCTGGGACTGTCCTAAGCAGCCCCCCAGTGACTCCATCCCCATCCCCGGCAGTGCTCAGAGTCAGGTTTCCTCCTTGGAGCACGTTCAGGTCACTGGGAGAGTCAAGAGTAATCATCAGGGCCTGGGCCTGCCCTAGGTGCCCTGGGGTATCAGTCTAGGAGGGCTTGGGCCTCAGAGCAGAACTGAGAGACCCACTGGGCACATCTGGGCTGGAGCGGTCTGTGCGCTCCACGCTGAGGACAGCTGCTCAGGGCACCCCCAGTCCCGGCCAGAAAGTGGGCAGGGTGGAGGAGGTAGCAGCTTCCTGCCAGGCTAGGGCTAGACTTCAGGTTACATCTTTCAGAATAAGAGGGCCTAACCCCCTCACTCCCACCCCATCCAGGCCAGACACCTCAGGGCGAGGAGGCCTTCCACGGTCTAGAGCAGTCCCTAGCAAGGGCAGCTGCAGACCCGCGGTCGGCCCCAACAGCAGAGAAATCAGCGTAGGGAAGCACTGACCCTAGCTTTGGCGCAGACCTCCAGGGCCACAGACGAGTCGTAATGTGCCTGAACTACATCTGGAAAACACGGGCACAAAGTTCCACCTCAGAGGAGCTCCGGAAAACCTGCCAGAAAAGAGTGGGACGAGGGCGCCCTGGCTGGCTCGGTCAGCAGAGCATGCAACGCCATCTCGGGGCCATGAGTCCAAGCCTCATGTTGGGTGTGGAGCCCCCTTAAATTTTTTTTTAAAAAAGCTGTAGTGGAGGGGGCGATCTGGACTTGAGATTTAGGGTCTGGACTAGAGAGGAGGGATCAGGACTAGAGAGGAGGGATCCGGACACGACATGGGGGAATCCGAACTCTAGAGGGGGCATCTGGACTAGAGAGAGGGGATTCAGACTCGAGAGGGGGGACCCGGATTTGAGATGGGGGATCTGGACTAGAGAGGGGGGATCTGGACTAGGGAGGAAGGGATCTGGACTGGAGGGGAGGCTGTGGGAGCCCACAAGGGCTCAGGGTGGCAGGATGTGCAAGAGGATTGGAAGCTTCCCAATCTGTAGTCCAGCTCCCCCATCCCGAGTCCAGCTCCCCCATCCCGAGTCCATATCCCCCATCTTGAGTCCAGATCTCCCATCTCTAGTCCATATCCTCCTTCTCGAGTCCAGATCCCCCATCTCGAGTCCAGATCCCCCATCTCAAGTCTGGATCCCCCATCTCGAGTCACGGGCTCCGCCCGACTTTTCCCATTGACCAGAGGTCCTCCCTTTGGAGCCAGACACAGATCTGAGCTGGGCCCGTGGCATGGATGCCAATGCTGAACCTTGGCTTATCAGTGAGGACAGTCCCCACCCTCAGCTGGCCACCCTTGGGATTGTCCAGAGGTCAGAGGGCAGAGCAGAGAGCCAGGCAGGGTTCCCCCTCCCTTGTCACGACACTGCTCTGCCTGCGGTCAGCTCTGGGAGATCCCATCTTTACTGTGGGGTTGGGAGGTTATCTGAGTCCAGGCAGGACGGGCTTCAGGAACTTTGCACTCTCAGCCATGAGTCACAAGGGCCACTCTGGGCACAGAGCTGAAGCACAGGTCCCACAGACGTGCTGTTTCTAGCCGCTGCCCCTGCGGTGCTGGCCCTGCCCGTTCATTTGTCTGTGGGTGCAGAGGGCAGCCCAGGCCGTGTCTGGGGATCAGCCCTCGCCCGGCACGAGAACTGGACCCCAGGTGGGGAGGCCAGCTGCAGGCACTGGGCCGAGCGCTTCCTGCCCACTGGTGGCCGGTCCCCTGCCCGCCGCCCCTGGCTGACCCAACCCCTGGGGGCGGTTCTGCACTAAATTCAAGAGCAGCCAAGCCCAGGTCTCCTGGCATCGGGGGTACCACCCTTCGAGCAGCAACGCCGGGTTGTTCCAGGGAATATTTTTTGGAGAAAATTCAGTCCAGTGAAGCAGGCTCCCCTCTGGGCTTGCCAGGCCCAATGCAGGCACCCAGCTACACCGATACCAGGCACACACCAGTCACTTGTAGCACATGCCGTGCGCTACTGGGGACATACTTTCACATAAAAATGATTCTTATTTCAAGATCAAAAGTGTAATTGTGGCGGCAACTCTCCCACTGCCTGAACCCTCTCACTGGCCGCCAACGCGGCAAAGGGCAGACAAACCAGAGGGAGGGAGACCAGGACGAGACAAGGAGAGGGACAGGCCAGAAGGTAGAGGCCGAGTGTGGGGCACGGGCTGGACGGCCAAACTCCACAGCGCAGGTGCTCTCCCGGGGCTGGCACCTGCCTACCCAGACAGGAGCGACAGAGCCGGGGGTCCCTGACCAAGGGCGACCCACGGGTTCTGGAGCGACTCACACTCAGGAGTCAGGGACAGGATTTGGAAAGTGCTCGCTGCTGCCAGCAGCTTGTCCCGGTTTGGGAAAACGTAAAACTGCCAGGGCTTCAGCAGGCCAGTGCGTAGGGGTCCTCGCCTCCCACAACCCCGATGGGGCGCTGGTGCCACTGTCTCCCCTGCTGCCGGGGGCTCAGGGAACCCCCGCGCATACTTCAGTGTTGATATGGAGAGGCTGTGCACGACAAGGACGCAGGCTGGCCAGCCTTTCACAGCTCCTAAGGGAGGTGAGCAACCCCGTCCAGGGGACAGCCGAGCCTGAGCGGGGCTGGAGGGATGCCCCCCAGGCCGGGGTGCTGCTGTGGCTGGGAGGGTCCCCACCTGGCAGTAAAGTCCTCTAGGCCAGGGGACCACGCAGGCCAGCATGTCCCGTCGCCCTCCTGCCTGGCTGCCTCCCACTGGGCTCACAAGCCACTTGCTCCAAGAACCCCGTCCCCACCACTAGCCCAGTAAGCCCCCTGCCCTGGTCTCTGGGGCCAGAAACACATCTGTCCCCCATTCTCACTATCAAAATCCCCAGGGACAGGAGGACCTCCCCCGGGGCTCTGGTTCCTCTACCCACAGGCCTAGAAAGTGGTTTTCAGGCTGTAGATCATTAACCAGTACTGGGTGATGCACTG